GGCAGCCTATAGTCCTTCTGGCCCCTGCAACTATAAGGCTGGTGAAGCTGATCAGAATATTCTGTGGAAACACAGATGGGGGGAAAAGGCACTGGGGAGCAAACTGGCTTAAAAATCAGGCTGAGTCTGACAGAAAGCCCGGGTCTGGCCACCAGGCTGCACACAGGGCACAGATTCCGGGCAGTGGAAAGTGGGCAATGAGCCGGGCTTCCTAGGCCGGGTGTGGGAAGGAGCCAAAAGAACCTCCACCATTCCCCTGGGGACCTTTCAACAGCACAAAGAGGAGCATATTTTCAAAGACAGCAGAAGCCAGCCAAGATAAAAAGGCTGGAAATTGAAATGGGAACAGAGCCAGCCTGGGTGACAAGGCCAGCTCCTTCCAATCTTGTCTGGAGAAAGAGAGGCCCTGCAGGTGCCCCACCAGGAGTCAGTGGTAGGCACTGCCATCTCCTCAGAGGAACAGGAAGGGGATATCCCACAGCCTTGAGTGGTGGTGCCCAGCCTGGTCTCAGCCACCAAAGGTCCTCGAGCACCCACGGCATCCTTGGTGCAGGCCAGTTTTCCAAAGGCTTATAATGTGACCCCTCGGATCACCAACCCATCTGGACAGGGATAACCGCCTAAAACATCTTGGGCTGGAGTCACGAAGTGCATGTGGTAACAGGCCGATAACAAAAACAGGAGCGAATCTGTTCAGGTAGAAGACTTCAAAGAGACAGAATAAAAAAATCATAAAGTTAAACAAGGACACAAATCTGGAACCATGGCCTGAAGCCTGTAGGTGACAATTTTGGTATTTCTGATGTTCATGCATCTCTAAGGAGCCCTGCAGAACGATGTCTAAAAACCTGACACCCCTCAGCTTGTGTCACCTCCCTGAAATGCAGGCTGCTCCATGGGTGAAAGAAAGTGGAGGCTCCATTCCCGGGCCCTCACCATCTCTCTTGGCTCCCAGGAGCCAGGATCTGTCAGGTAAGGATCCATCAGTACCCTAAGTGCCTGTACCTTGTAGCTCAATGCCATAGTTAACTCGTGTGGGCCAAGTGCACACAAAAAAGCTGCCTCTGACAACTTCCTCTTCCTTAACCTGCCACTTCAGAGAACTGGAGAAGAACAGGGGACACTAAGAGATATGTGCATGGTGTATCAAGGAACACCTTTAAAACTTTTCTATTATGGAAAACGGAAATGGCTGAAGAATAGAGGTATAGTACAACGAACTCCTCATACCCACTGACCAGCTTCAACAATTGTTTCTGTACTCTTCCCACCCCACGATAATCTTTACATTCCACTCTGGACTATTTTTTAGCAATCCACAGACATGCTGTTACCATTTCATCTGTGAAGACTTCAGTATAATTCTAACAGAAGACTCTTTATAAAACATAACTATACCATTGCCATACCTTAAAAAATTATTATGCTATGATGATTCCATTCATGTCCCCAAGAAGTGGTCACCGCTTAGGTTCGACACACAACCCTCTTCTTCTAGAAGAGCAGGAAGAAGGAGCCATGAGCGCCTAAGATCGGCAAAATATGAGCTACGCTTAAAGCCCTTGTTTTCTTCAAATGATGCAATGACCATCAGCTTTGAACACACACTGGTGATCAACAGAGCAAGGGAGCATTTTGGCTTCATGTTGGGGGGAAGGAAGGTGATGTTGACAGTATTATTACCAGCTGAGGTTGTTAATAAACAAACCACTGGCGTTGCAGCAATCTCACATGCCTCATCCCATGTAATCCTTGGGACCACAGTCGCCGGGTGAGGGAATGCCCTTCCCCATTCCAGAGATGGAGAGTTAATGCTCAGCTTACATCACAACCTGCCTCACAGACACCATGGCACCAGTCCACACAGTCTGTTTGATGGCATGCCCACAGTATAGACCCTGTGCTGTGCTGGTGAAAGTTCTCATCCACACTTGCTCTGTCATCCCTACACTTCCCATCTCTCTTTCCCCTAACACCAGGGCAGAGGCTGGGTACTCACCAAACTGGCCATCCAGTTAATGCATAACTCACACGCCAGAGGCTATGGTGGTGGGAGCATCTCCAGCACCACGCTGGTGTCCTTGATGACACCTCCTCCTTGCTGACACCTGTGAGTGAGAGCACAGGCTGCCTCAGGCATGAGCTCAGACTTCCCAGGCTTCTTTCTTTCGCTCCCCATCAGGCCAGCCTGGGCCTTGCACACAAAAAACATTGGAGCAAATGCCCAAGGAAACCAAGTGGAAAAAAATAGAAGCCAATCAGCAGATGTGGGCAGATGCATCTCAGGGCCTCATGATGTGATGCACATATTGGGGAAGTAACACAAATTGTGGAATGAGATTCCAGAGTGTGGGGGGATAATGAGACTAGGTCAACAGTGCTGAATAAAACAGATAAATGAGAGCAAGGTAACTGTCATTTCCTCACGGAGATTACATGGTAACCACGTGACAAACCGGACAATGATGAGGACAATTCCAAACAATGTCAGTGCCTGGGGAGAACTAGCTAAGGAGCAAGGACCTCCCAGTATCATTCCAGACCCCTGTGGCTGGCACACCACAAGCAAATAAGCCCAGGGAGGTGCTGGAGGCATGAGAGGATTTGTGGGGACGCCAAGTGGTCAGGCAGCAGAGCTCTGTCCTTCCAACACTGTTACAAATATGACCCTTCCTCTAGGGACGGCTCTGGGGAGATCATTGCCTCAACACTGGAGATCAGAGTATCTCTTTAGCAGCTGATCCCAGTTGCGGGAGGACAGCCAGCTTCCTCTCAGAAGCCAGGCCTGTAGTGTGGGGCTCACAGGCAGAAACACTGGCAGGGCTGGCCAAAGTCAGCCTCCTCGGCCAGGCCCTCCTTCATCGCTGCTAATCCAGCCTTCTGCCCCAACGAGTCCACCCCAGACCCAACCTCTGTCTCCACCTCCTTCCAAATACAATCCCTTCCTGAAACCTCTTGGAAAGTCAAAGTCACCTGAAACCACCCTGAGAATAGGTCATCAGGACACCATGGTCAGGAAGAAACAGGTTTGGGGTTGATAGCTTCCTGTTCACAGAAGTCTAGTACTGGCTCAGGGATCAGCTCTGCACAAGACTGTTTATTTTAATCCAGAAGCATCTGTTTTTTTTTCTGTGTATAGGACACCTGTACTGCCTTTTACCTTCCTGGCCTGTCCACCAAATTTGAGGCAGCCATCCCAAAGTGGTCATTTTGAGACCTCGATCTGAGAGGCTCTTGGTAGCTATCTGTGCATTGCCCTGACCAGCTCCTTTTGACCCATTTTCTTTTGGGAAAGGCACCTGATCATTCCGAGGGGTTGTGTTGCCCTGGCCTTGGGTCTGCTTCCAGAAATGGGCACAAGTGACGCATCGGAGAGCCGGGCTCCTGAAGCACACTTCGGGATGGCAGCACGGAGCCACCACACCACAAGGAGAGCAACCTACCTGACAGGGACTCTACCCTAGGCATACACCATCTGCCCACTTCCTCTTCTAGCAGCAACTGAACTCAGATTTCCTGCATGTTTTGCAAGTTACACGAGCCAATACATTATTTGTTTAAGCCAATTTGAGTTGGGTTTTATTAGCTCACAGAAGAGGCCTGACAAACAAAGACACAAGAGCTTCTGACCACACAAGGGATGACCAAGACTTCCTCCAGCCCTGGTACTCCACCCCGGGTGCCACGCTAATCTGCACCACCTTGTTTGATCCCCACCATGCCGCCGCACTGTCTCCTCCACCTGAACGTGCTCCCCAGATCACACACTGCTGCGTGGTCACTATCTTCTGTGTGTCAGGGACGCGCACAGGACTTCATTCTTCCTTCCAGCACCTGCTGCACAGGATTTCCCAGATTTATTGCTCTGAAGGCAACCGGGTCGAGTGGCCTTTCTGCCTTGTGGGAGATCGATGCAAGAAATGGATCTTTCTTCTCACACAGCCGGCGTCAAGAGTATGCAGCAGGTAACAACCAGCATTGCTTCTTTCCTGACACGAGAGGGGTGAATGAAAAAAACGCGAAAAGCGTTTCACGATAATGCGGAACGAAGTACCGA